TACTGCCCTCCAGCCCCGTCTCCGTGCACTTCTGGCCGGAGAAAGTGACAAGTTACCATAGCTGCGGACATACTTACTCACACATGGCAAGGTCCAGGGCCCACGGAAAAGATCGGTTGTTTAGTGTTGCGCACAGGTGTTTTGAGTGGATCACAAGATACAGTCCATACGCCGAAAATGGGAATTGTCTGTGAACGGGCCTAGACCTGTCTGTCCATGGAAGAACAGCAGTGACTTCGTATCCCCGTGTGCCATGGGGGTTGAGCAGAAGCTTTAGACCGCCCGTCCCCTGCTTTCTTGTGCAGTCGGACACATCTTTGCCCTGGACCGGGGAAACATGAACGCAACCACCGCATTCCCAACGCAATCCCTGGGCACGCCTTCTCCTGTCGCAGTGGTATGCACTGTGTCAATATCAATGAAAAGCCTTCATGATACATAGAGTAAAATTTGCTGCATCTTTTCTCTACTTGAAGTCTTTTTAGTTGTTTCTCATCACTGCTGCTAACTTTAGATACATCACGCTAGTAGTTAGAAGTCCATTTTTAAAACTAGAGAGAACAATAGAAAAAATGTTCTGTGGAGAATTTGATTTTTCTTTATGTCGTACAGGAGTACTTTCTGATTCCTTCACCTTTACAGATCGGCTTGAAGCACTCGTATCTCGCAATCGGGGCAACAATATGTTTTGTCTCCATGGTCAACGCCCCAAATTTTCTCACGTACAAAATTCACGAAATAAGGTAAGGATTGCCGAATATTTCTGAGGTTACTATGTGTACTTTTTAAAATGTTCGCATTTTTCATATTCCTATATCAGCGCTGTTAGCTGCACTGCACTTAATATTATGCGCTTTATTTGTTTTTATTTATTCATCGTTATTATAAGTTTTCACCTCACACCACGACAAACCTATCCTCTGTCATTCCCTGCTACCCAACGACTCTATTCTCGTTCTGCCCTCTTCACTCCTTGGAACCAAAGACGTAGTGTTTCCGCGACGGGCGTTAGGATTTTGGTAGCAGACGCAGACAAAGACACAAAGACGCATATTCCGATCACACACAGGATCACAGATTGCTTATAGCAAAATAATCCTCATAACAATGCGTTAAAAACGCACTATCCCAGGCTCCGCTGTACGTGCCGTTTTCTTTCAAGACATCTGTTATTATTAATTTATTACGATTTCTTAGATTAGAGCTATTTTGGAATTCTTTCTTACGTTATCAGTCGCTACTCTTCTATCGTCGTCATCCGGGCAGTTGATCAGCCGACCCCAGGGGTCGCGACGCGGCTGCAGCGCGTCACGACCGCGGCGATCAGCTGTTTCCACCCTAATTTAGCAATTTCCTCCCTAATTTTCACTGTATTTCCTATTTTTTCAAGATTATTTACGTTATTGTCTATATGAAGTTTAAACTCGTGAACTTTTTATTTTCTCTCGTAATGGTGTGTTTTTCGCGATTTTTTTTCAGGCATTTGTCTAATTTGTTTAATCGTTTAATTGTTCGCAAATGTTATAAAAATTCCAATTATAATTTACCTTGTGAAGACAAGGAACTGCTAATCTTGGAAAAAGCAGCCAAAAACAGTGGGAAAATGACTAAATTAGGCCGGAAAAAGCAAATAGTTCCTACGCACGCGGTCGCTGCTGCAGCCGCGTCTGCGGCCCGTTGACGACCGCCCTAATCAACTGCCCGGATGACGAGGGTATATTTATATCATAATTATACTATTGTGCACTTATGTGTAATAGCTTTTCTATATGTGGGATTGGTTTGGCTGTCATTCAGACGTCTGATGTATGCGAATCCCGTAGCCACACTGTCTGTTCCCTTAAAGACGTCATGCTGAAAGAGCAGGCTTCTCATAGTCTGAGGAGGGAAAAACTATAGTTTATACCATTGCAACGAGTCGGCCGTTGACCGCTGCCTTGCTCTACCAATAGCGATCGAGTAATGATCGATTCAGGAAAGAAACAGTAGTGGAAAGGTCGCAGATGGGACCAACTGCTTGCAGCCGACTGGTTGCGGTGATATCTACTGTAAACTGAACTGCTATAAGCAGCTGGCCCCCTTTTATAGCACGGGGGCGGGGCTTTTCGCTGCTTCCGGCGCAATCATGTTCGATTCATTGCAGGTCTAGAGGTTACTACGGATGGTGAAACAATACGGTCTGGTTCACTAGTCAGACCAGTAGAGCAACAATATGGGTGACTCATCGAATAAGTAGCATTCAACAGTAGCAGCAGTATAACAAGAAACAGTGTAGCTGAAATCCACTCAAGAACATATTAAAGCAGCTTATTTCGTCTACCGTTGCAATATTTATTATTATATTATTTATTACTATACTATTTATTACTATATTATTTATCACTATATTATTTATTACTGTAGCATTCATTTATTGTTGTACTGTGCATTTATTTAGTTATCGTTCACCTTATGATAACCTAGCGTTAGTAAAACATTAGGAGAGTGGTTTAGGTTGAACGATACATGTGTGGTCAGAGATCCGGCTCTGCTTCATGCAGCAGCATATCTACCTGGTATAGCGGAAATAGCACTTGCAAAGCACTGCCTCGTGAGTCATTTTTCTCTCTTCATTTCCTCTGCCTCTCGCTCTTTCCGCATTTGAATGCGATACAGAAATAAAAGAAATAATTCCTAACAGCGAGATAATAGCAAAAATAAACATATCACATCATTCAGTAACAGTTATCGTTCTAATAACAACAATCGCAACAACGGTCGTAGTTATAATGGAAGTGATAATTATGACAATGAATGTAAAAATAGTTATTATCCGAAGAGATGTGGAACGTGGTGGAAGCGTTCATTTCGATTTGTGCTCCCCACGATCGAGTGGCTCACGAAATTCAAAGCGTAGTTCGTTAAGGTATTTCGACTCGTCTTCTGGATATCGGGTCTTGTCTTCAAAGTGATACCATGCTGCCTTTTATCGTTATTCGTCTGGTTACTGCTCGGTATACTAAAAGAGGTAGGAGCTGTCTGCATTTCTGTCACTATAACTAGGCTCTCCCTTAGTTACTCAACAGTTACTATCACTTCCACCATGCGAATTCAGGTCTAAACCCGCGAAAGCATGAATTTTCCATGTAAGGGCACAAGGAATCAATGTCGAGGGCTGACCTTGACAAATGCTGTAACACTTCTGAGTAATCTAACGTACCCTCATTCCTGGTGAGATAGTGTAAGGGCAAACCACTGAGTTACCTCACGCGCCGTCCGGCCGGTGGTCAATCAAATCGGCTTCTGCTCCGTCCAAACAAACAAGTACAATCATTCCATAATCGCTATATTGGTAGCAGACGCGCTGAGAGGACAGAAACTCCTACCTGCACATCTGCTCGCCACTTAAGTCGTTCAAAAAAAGGGTTCTTCAAACGGCTTCTTTTTCCCAGTGGCATACACAACACTCAAAAGCAAACATCCCGACGACCCTGCGAAAATTTCATAGGTAGCGGAGTGAGATACAAAAGTGTAGGTGCTAACTGGTCTGCCATGACGAAAAAGAAGAGAAAGCCGTGAAAAGCGGCACTCCTTCTTCCAGATCAGAGGTGATGAATCGATGTGGGTTTCTGGCGAGAGACGAAACAAGAACAGAGAGAGAGAGAGCATGCAACCGAGCTAGACTACAAATGAGCATATGAGCGCGGGCAGAGTCACTGACTCTTTGACGGGGTCATTGGAGCAACCGTGCGCCTTGACGCCCTCATCTCCCATCTCGAAACTCTAGGCTAAGAACTTGCGTGAAATTGATGAGTGCAGTCTATACTACATGTCCGTAGCAATCGCACTGATACTTATAAGTGATCAAGGACCACGCCTTTAATAAGACGCTCCTCTTCATGATCCTCGTGTCATACCCTAAGCACTCATGGCTACTCATAGTCCGTTTTGTCGAGTTAATGGAATGAAGCGATTTCAGGTGAAAGCGAATCGAGAAAGATTGCTGAACACTCATCACAATGCAGCAAAATCCAACGGCAAGCTTGTTGTAGTCACATCAAACGACAAACATCAACGGACGAGTAGCGTCAGGTGATAAAGCTTTTACAAATTAGCAGTACTTTTGATGTTGCTATTCAGTTTCATGATTGACCACTGCTGACATATCGCTCAGATCTTGTAACACATTGAAGTAAGAGTTTTCAGAGGCAGCAGAGGTGAGAAGGCCGATCGTACGACTAAGATGCTGTTGGCTATTGTTTTCGTTATGTTGTTCACTGAAATGCCTCAAGGTATCATGGCCCTGTTATCAGGTCAGTGATTGTTGAGCCTCACTTCAAAGACAGACTCTGCACTCGACCAATTCCTAGAATTCATTTTTTACAAGTTATCCATTACCTATGAGATTGTCTTTCTCTCACAGCTCCACAATTAGTAACAAGGGCACTGCTGCCGTCATAAGATGGGGTTGCATGCGGTAGCTTCAAACTGCCTCGTGTATCGGGGCCGAGATGTGAAAATACGCCACTCATTCCCTGTGGGACCATTCTGTGGTATCCGTCATCTGATAACTAGCGTTCCAATATAGTGCGTAAGCATGGTTCACAGTGGCGTAGTGTTTTCAGAAAATCTCTAGTATTTCTCTAGCTAAATAGTGTGTTACGATCTTTATTCCTACGCTGTTTTTTATGCACTCCTCATCCCTGAGACCGAGTGGGCGTGGCATTCAAATACAGCATATACTGGGTTACTCGTGAAATACTTCAGTTTGGGACAGCTGGCAGCTGGCTCTGTGTTGGGGAGCGACAGGTCGGCAACCGTGTCAAAATGAAAATATCTTACCAAAACACCATCACCGTCACGTTTAGTTGAAATACGCAGCCGCCTACCCCTTCCCAGTTGTCAGAGCTCAAATACCGTCATCCGTAGAAGGTCCCATCCATCTTGGAGGTTGTATACTAGTAGTCCTGTATCTTCAAACGCAGCTGTGGAGCGTTGCGCTCATTCTGTGCGAGCCCGTTCTGACTTCCTCCTCTCTCGTCTTTTGTCTCTGGGCCCTCGCTCGCGCAGCATTGCCTCGCGTATTCGAGTGCTTGTTCAGATCGAATCTTATTCAGGGCACAATTTTGTTTATCTTCTCCACTAATATTATTAATTCCCGCGAATTTATGTTCAAACCCAGTCAAGTCGTCAGCTCATACTGTGTCTCCAAAGGCACAGTCCACACCGATGATGTGTGTGAGCCGCGCCTGCCATACAGCCCTCCTCATTCGCGCCCCTTTTTTGACACGGTAAATCTACAGGTTGTATTATGAGTGAAAAGCGACAGAAGGCAATATTTGCCCATAACAACACAACCGCATCCGTTTGTTAGGACCTGCAGCGTGTGTTTTTTTCAATAATAATAATTTTATTAATACATTCAATTAACTGCACTTTAGGTATGATCTCGCAAGAGTTCCGACGTCATATCTACAATAACCTGGGCGACCTGCTGGACTTATTCTCACTATGTGAAGCATGCATGTCGTTCATCATCTACTGTTCCATGAGCGGACAATTTCGAAATGTTCGTTCTATTTTTTTTACTTTTCACTTGTGCTCAATTTCCATCTTGACTTTGGGCTCGGTTTCAATCATACACTTTTGAATTTTATTTTTAAGAAACTTTCCTGGGAAAGAAATCGCCAAGGATCCCACTCCACCAATATTTTCACCGTACTTACTTCTTGTTTTATTTATCCGGTGATCAAGATAGCTTGTTATTTTAGCGAAATCCTCTGGGCGTCGTAGACCCTAAGTTTCCCCACTCATAGTAAGCAGTGGCTCCTCTTCCATGCAATCACTTAAGTTTTCATACGTGACCGTTTCTTATAGCTACCAAAAAGTTCGTCTATCGTAACTATCTGTTATTCTGGATTTTAGATTTTCTAATCCTTATTTCTAAGGGATTACCAATTCTTCCCGACTCTTTTGTGTAGTTCAGATATTTCAATCAGATATATGTGTGGTCGTTTAGGAATTCCATCGTGTCTTCATTCCAAAATCGGTGAATTGCTCTCGACGACAGCCGTCTGTTCGTCGGCCATCAGATACATATACCAAGATGTCGTATCTGAAACCGAACGATGCGTACGAGAACGGCTCATCCACCTATTCTGATTTAGATAGAAGTGGAGTCGTCAAGGTCGGTAAGCTTTTATCATATCTTGTTCATTTATAAAGATGGGTCTGTCATCCGTGGTGTTAATTGTTCCCTGTGACTGTCTGGACTGCAGGGAGCCTTTCTTTGACATTTGTCAATAGAAGCAGTGATGTGCCAACAGTAGTGAGAATGGGCCAACTCAAAACATAGTCCATGGCCGCCCTCGAGAGGGGGGAACAAGCCATTGGTGCTCTCTCATTTTCTAATTCGCTAAACAGAGTGTTCGGAGGATATTACGTCGCGATTTGCCTGGGCGATCGCCGCTTTAGAAGACAGACTGTACGCTCATCGCCGACGGTCGTTTCAATGTGGGGTCGTTTCCATGGGTCCGCAGCTGCAGTAGCGAACCATTTTCTTCGCTCAAAGAACGCTCTGCTGGAGAGTGGTTACACAGTTCATGCCCTATCCTCACACTGCAGCACTTGCGCACATACAGCAACGAAACATATGCTCAGTGGCAGAGAATCGGAAGTGAGAGGGTGTGGACAATCAGCGCGTTCGGTTACGACTAACCGTGTGACTGTTCGTGCACTTTTGAGCGGTGAACGTGTCATACCACAGCTCAACACACCTCACACATGGCAGTGATCAGGTGAGTGTACAATTCGTTTCTAAACATAAGAGTCACTTTGCGTCGGAGTAAAAGACCTGCCCTCCCAATTCATCGGATCGTTAGAAAATTCCACACATTCACCTCACTCAAATCACGGCTTCTTCGCTCCTAGGCACTCCCTTGTAGAACGAAAAATAGGTAGCGCACAAACAATATGAAGGCAATCTTGATGTCCTGAGTGGTTATTTATTGGTATCCTCTGAGACGTCTTGGCTTATCTTGATCCAATAAATATTCTTTTGTGAGGTTATCCTATTTAACCATGAACGCTTTTCAGGTGATCATTGACCAGAGCTCAAGCCGCGCGGATATCACTCGTATCACACCCTCACCCGGAATTACCTCATCAACACAGGACGAACCGGCGATGGATGACGACGAACGTAGTCAGCTTCTAGACATGAAAAACGCGATCGTCAATGGTAGCATTAAGGAGCAGCAATTCAAAAACATTTGAAGCGAACTCTCCAAGGCTGGGGAAGCATGTCCTAATCTACGAACGAGTGCCTCTATAGAATTCATGTGTAATTAACTTTAACAGTGAACTATGAATCTCCGTTAAATGTAAGCAATAACGCTTCCACGTTTGATAGGTTTTTCCTGAAAAAGATTACAAATATAGACCAGATTTTTAATGTTATTGTTAACGATCCCAAGCTCGGCGTCAATTTCTGTGTATTCTGCGATTTCGAGCATGGTGGCCTAAATATGGGGTATTCGTGGTAAATTCGCAGATTAAAAAGAACAAACGAGTGAGTCAGGTCTACCACTGCGTCCTGCTTCATCCACCTTACTGGGATTAAGATGATAAAGAGAATAAATGTGCCTAAGAAAGCAAGACAGTGGTCGGCCACGCTCCGCCCACAAGATCACGCGCTGATGCATATGTTTCACTTGGGGAGGGTGATAAGTTGAGGGGGGGGGGACAATGCGAACATTTCGTCGAATTTTGTCCATTCGATGTTGTGAACTGGAACTCCGTGCGCATGAAGGAGAACCCGACACTTCAATCCAGGTTTTCAGTTGGAGAAACACTGAGTTCTATCCACCGAATCCGAGTTTGTGCAAAAGAAAAACTGATGAACGTGGGCAAGAGGTGGCTACGGTAGAGCTAACCGATCTGTTGCCCAGCTCTATGTTATCTCCTCAAAGAGTCCAACCCTCTAGTGTCCTTCGCGATGAAATGTGGTGACGTTGAGTAACTGGAAGACTTGTTGTAAGTCATGTTGTCAACAGATCCGCCACGCCCAATAACTCCCATTCCACAGAAAGAGGTCATGTGCGTCCGTAATTACAGAATAACATGGAAGATGACGTCGAAAATTACACTACTGTATATTCTACTACTCTCACTGTTCTCGTGTGCTGTTTTGTTTCAAGTCAACTTCATTCTCAGGGCTCTGTTTCCGGTGCTAAAGTGGGTGGGAACGATTAGTCGGCGTGAATAGACCACGACCACTATTTGCTCGTCTGCGCCCCTTGGCGTCGTCGACACCAACTTATTGCAACTTCCCCGAGAGATGGCAGATGAGCAGAAAATGGTTGTGGTATGTTCGCTTCGTCAGCTGTTCTTCCGCCAAGCTACCTTAGCACCCTCTCTTCCTCTTTCGAAAAGATTTTTTTGTATGAATTTTGGTTGTCAAATCTGAATGTGTTTTTGTTTCTGTGCATATTGCCATGTTCCGGGTTGAGCGATATTCAGTAGATGGGCCTTTCCGCACATTGTTACTCTATTCATAATAGATGGTTTTAATCATTATGGATCAATGCTCTTCGCAAACCCTACCTGGACACTTTCCTTTTCAGCCCAAAATTATTGTTATCTTTTGGTGCCAGGATCTCAGGATAATCGATTTCTGAGGGTTTTTGAACCATTTTGCTTAGTGCTATCAAATTTCATTCAATAAACGTGTCCAATATGGTTTTCAGACTTTTCACGAAAGTTCGATTTGCAAGACTCTATTGGACTATTCGTTACGTTCGTTAGACCAATAATTAGCTGCGATAACCGCTAATACGCACTAATGATTGGAAATCAGCGGCCTTCAACATGGATTCTCATCGAAATGTGTTATGAGCCATGCATTCCACCGCCTACTGGTCGTAGTTACAAATGTGTGTTTTTCATCCCGGACAGTCCGGGCCGCCCTAGTTTTGGTTGCTCAGCCTTTGTACAGCTGAAATGAGTGCGTGGTCATTACAAGTAATTTCATGCCATTGTGTGGTCGTGATGTCACCAAATATTGCACGAGTAACGTCTGTGGTAACGAGGGTACACTTATCCCATGTTGTTCATAATGCTGAACGGTATTTCAAAGCTTGAGAGACGGCACAAGCTTAGTTTCTTTGCCGCGGATTTCCTCTGGGGACACTATAGGATGACGGGATATGTTGCGAATAAGGAAAACGAGCCGCCTTCCGTTCCTGAAGACGACGGTCTGTTCGAAATTGACCGATAAAGCTGTTCGCCCAAAAACAGACTTGGTTAGAATAATAAAATAGAAACAACACAGGAAATCGTGGTGCCTGGGATTTCTCTTCTGATGTCTTCTATTTTTTCGTCGCGTTTCCCGATGCGAAAATCTTACGAAGAGCGCGTTGCCCAACCGGGACTTCAACCCGAATGATATAAAGCATTTTTAGATAGCCTAGCTATCCTCATATAACTTTCCAGTGTTCCAGAATCCTATTCTTGTTCCCAACCCAACATGTTGTGTTCTTTTGTTTTTCTTGCTTTGAGAATTAGTCCAGTTAATCTTATAAACCTATTAGTTTTCATATCTGTTCCTGTCTAATCGATACAACCACGCTGGTATGTTATCGTATTATGTGGCAGATTGCAAGCCGCGGCCTCGGTCTCAAGTAGATAACTCCCTCCGGCGGTGGTCAAGAAGGCCTGGAAGTCCTTTCAAAAGGCAGGCCGCTATTCCGAGGTGTATTTCTCCTGCCGTCAGTGCGTCATCCCACCCGCCCGCCGCTCAACTGCAAGTACCCTAGCAATGGCCGCCATAAACTCGTCGCCTTCCACCTCCACCCATCCTTTTCCTCTTAACACTTATCATTATTCTTCTGTTCTCTTTTTTCTGTTAATAAACTGTTCGGTACTTATGTATTCACCACAGAGCTCAGGGACACATATCGCGGCTCACACCACAATTACGCCATGTTGGGGGATAGAGTGCATCGATCTTTGATAAGAAGGTGTTTCTAAGGGGTAGTAGGCCTTCTACAACCATTGCTATGGCCCATTGCTAGTGACACCTTAATGGCACGGTACTGGCCAGGTTGAGCGCAGAGAGGTTGACGTAGCCCTTGTAACGATAGCGTGTGTACTGCGAAGACACCGAACCGCAGAACCAGCTCTTTCCCTTATCACCCCACTCTTACCGTTCGGAATGGGGAGAGCTACAAGCGGGACAACCGCACCGCAAGGAAACTCTCCGACATTGAAGATGGATCTTGTTTTGGGCAGTGGGCGGGACGTTGCCTTGGTCGTGAGCGCGTCGCGCCTTCCTCACTATTTTCGAGCTACGGAAATAGTAAAGTGTCTTCTATATTGGCCTACTGGACTAGTTTGACAAAGCAAGGTGTTACATCAAAGCAGATCGTGCCTTTTTATGATTTTTATGCCCTAGCCTCATGGTACCCACATGTTTAACTTGATCAGCCACGCATAATGGTAAGTTCCAAAGTCCTGTAGTAAACTTTTATCCATAAAAACAAGAAAAGTCGATGACTAGTGGAACGAAGAACATGATCGTTTCATAGATTATAATGATTCAGGCAGCGAAAGCAGAAAGCGCGTGCAAAGCTGTAGAGAATTAATCGATACAACAATGAAATATATAAGTAAGCCCTAGAAAATGAATATCAAACTTCACCTATTTACGACAAAGTCGATCACAAAGTCGAAATTCAAAACACAGAAGATTCATATATGAAAACATACTCTGTTCAAATATGAAATAGGAATTCACACACTCAGAAAGGTCGTGTAAGTGAGGCGGGCAGATACGTGGCAGCACGCGGGTTTTGAAACCAAGAAAAAATCACCTTTAATCTCACACAGTGGTCGTTCCTAGCTTACTGAAGTCTTTTGTTCAATATGAAAGAGCACTCAGGCTAGATGTGAATAAGAAATGGACAATGGAATGTCAAGAGATCGTAGATGGACAAATGAAGCCATAAATGGAAAAGCGGTCGTATGATTGGTTGACAAATCGTTGAAAAAGAATCGTCTCACTGATTAAGTATCCCGTTTATGATCGGGTGGAGCCGAAATTGTAACGGAGCGCTTGATTTGTCCGGCTAGACTACGAGCCGGTGACATTGAGCAGTCTCGTGACGGTACATTGGAGGCGAATTCACCTGTAATAAAAGATTCCAGGAAGGACCAATGAATCACCTCTCCAGCGAATTCTCGTCTTTGAAGGAGCGCTCGAAAGGGCGGAGTCGGGCATATTGCTAAGCGTTCCTCGCTAACGTGCGCCTGCTTTCTGTAGTTTTCCAAGGGCGCGAAAACTGAGGTGAAAATTTTCCTTCTCTCTAACAAGGGAATGGTTTGAACTTCCCATGGAACTTTGAATGGAGACCTAGGTACATCGATAGAGCCTCGAATGCTGATTACGAATATGCAGATTAAAAGTGCTACGGGGACCTCCCAGACGAGATCTGGGTGGTCAAAGTTTGAGTTCTGGCTCGTAAGCGCTGCTGATCGATGCCTCGGCAGTGCCACCGTGGCCTCGTGGTAATGGTCTCGCTTTCAAGTCAAACGCATGCGGGTTTGCATCCGGTTGGCGCGAAAATTTTTGCTTCGCTCCGTATAAGAGCTTCAACTCTAATTTTCGAAATTCTTCCGAATTTACGGC